CTGTTGAGAAATAAGCTGATATTCCTATGGGTACTTCCTTTTAGGTAACTGTTTCTCTCTTGCTGCTTTTAAGATTCTCTCTTTGCCTTTTGCCCTTGGCATTTTAATTATGACGTGTCTTGGTGTGGTCCTCTTTGGATTCTTCTTGTTTGGGGTTCTTTACTCTTCCTTGACTTGTAAGTATATTTCTTTCTCCAGGTAGGGGAAGTTTTCTGTCATTATTTCTTCAAAAAGGTTTTCAATATCTTGCTCTCTCTCTTCTTTTGGCACCCCCATAATTAAGATGTTGGTACGCTTGAAGTTGTCCCAGAGGCTCCTTACACTATATTCATACTTTTTGATTCTTTTTGTTTTTCCAGTTGGGTGTTTTTTGCTTCTTTGTATTTCAAATCTTTGACTTGATCCTTGGAATCCCCTAATCTGCTATGGAATCTCTGTATATTATTCTTTATTTCAGTGAGTGTATGCTTAATTTCTGATTGGTCCTTTTTCATATCCTTAAGGGTATCACTAACTTTCTCAGAAGTTTCTAGAAGATTCTTAAGTAACCTTATAGCTGTGCTTTTGAACTCTTTATTCAGTATTTTGCTTTCCTCCATTTCTTTAGTGACTTTTTTGTCTCCATATTTTGGCTGCTTCCCTGTGTTTATTTCTATATACCAGGTAGCTGCTAAGTCTCCTTGAGTTGATAGAGTGGCTTGTGTGGTAGGTGTCCTATAGGGCCCAGTGGCTCAGCCTTTCCAGTCACCGGAGGTGAACACTCTTGGTGCACCCCTTTGTGGGCTCTGTGCAGTTTTGTTTTAGTTAACTCTTGATTGTTATTGGTATAACTGAGAAGAATTGACCTTCAGGCCAATTGGCTGTGATGACCAGCCGTGTCTACACTGGAAGATCCGATACACAGGATCACTCTTCTGGGGCAGGATTTGCTTCAGTGAGGCTTTGGTGCTTACTGACTCTGCCCCTTGTGTATGTCTCCTATGGATGTGAAGAGTTGTAATCTGGTATGTTCTCACTCTGACCACTGGGTACACTGGCCTTAGATCTCCAAGGAGATGCAAGGTCAGCCCATGTCTGGGGCTGCCAATCAGGAGCTACAGAGAGATCTGCAGATTCCTACTCTTTGTATGGGGTTTGGAAGTGCCCAGACAAGGCCCAGCTGTGTAGCAAGGAAGGCTGCTGCTGTCAGGCCTTGGGCTTTCTTTTGGAAGCTCTGGGGCTCTCTGACCCAGCTTCAGTTTGACAGGTTTTAGGCAAAGAAAGGATAAGTCATTCATATGCAAAAACTGATGCACACAGCTTGGATGAGGTTGTAAATTGGGTGGGGCGGGGTCTTTGGGAATCACCAGGGTTAGCAAACAGCAATGGTTGCCAGTCAGCCTGCACCAGAGTTGTCTCTGGGTCTCCAAGTCCCATGCCCACATGCAGGAACAATGATCGCTGCAAGCAACTCTGAGAAAGCCACCCTTGCATTCCTGTCCTGATACCAGACAATCCAGTTTCTCCCCATATGTGTTTGGGTCCCCCAGAGTCTTGCACGGAACTGAAGTTCAGAGAAAGCAGGAGCTTGTATCTTCCTCCTAATTAAAAGAGCAGCACATCCAGGTGCCAGCACTTTCCATGCCTTCTCACCTCTTAACGGTCTCAGTGCCTTTCATCAACTCTCTACTTGTGGAACTTCCCCTTAGCCAGCTTTCCCACAGTTCTGGGTGGTGGTTGTTCTACCATTTAGTTGTAATTTTGATGTGGTTGTGAGGTTTAGCAAGTATAGGTTTTTACCTATGCTAACATCTTGGTTCTCTCTGTATGTTTTAATTTTTTAATACTCAAGATAGTCTGTGTTCTTTCCTTAAAGAAACTGAGTCAAATAGTGGCAATTTACTTTCCCAAGTGCATACTGTTTGTACATGGTGAATCATGACTATCAACCCAGACAGTCTGTGTTCAGAGTCTACACAATTAATTATTGTAAAATGCAGTATCCATTTATATTGGTATTGGATATACTACACAGATAAAACTATGGTCATTATATAATTTCCTATAAAATATTTCTAGTTAATACTTCAATTTTTTTATTCCTTTGATATGATACCTCACAAAACATATTACAGTGTGTCTGGAATCTGAACCTATGATAATAAATACATGGCTTAAATTGGTCTAAATGACTAAAAAATGTACAAAATAGCATTCTGGTGGGTTTTGTTTTTTTTTTTGCTTTTTGTTTTTTTGTTTTGTGTGTGTGTGTGTGTGTGTGTGTGTGTGTGTGTATGTGTGTTTTAATTTATGAGCAGGTCTTTTAAAATAATGTTCTCCATGGATTATTTTAGCAGGACTCAGTTGGAGAGGCTCAGTAGAATTATCTATCCTACCTGAATGACAATTTGTGGTGGGGGTGGATGGTCGAGAGAATTAGGAAAAGCAGAGCAAACTACACTAAATCCATGGGTGAGTTTGTCATCACTTAGGACCCTTATTGCTTTTTGTTACATTTGTACCAAACACCGTAAATGAGGGTGTTAATAGATAATTTAAGAAACCAGGCTCATGTTTCCTAAATAATGAATCCATCAATTCTGTGAGTGATGCTGCATCAAAAACAGGTTTAAGAGGCCTCAGATGTGAAACAAAACTGCATTTTGTGTCACGTCTTTGGTTTGTAAGTTTATGAATCAGAAATGAATAATTTTCAAGGGAATTTCACTAATATAACACCCCATTGGGATAACAGTAGTTAATACTATAACAACTATAAGATCTAAATATAATAGTATCTTAGATGTATGACTTGCCTTAACAAAACCTAAAATTTGAAGAGAAATGTTGAGAAAATATTCATATATGTGTCTGAAGCTATTTTGAATATTTTGTAAACAGTAAGTATAGCTAGATAAATTTAAAAAATGTTTTACACATAATATTGTTTTTCTAGTTTTTTGGATATTCTTTTCTCTCCAAGGAGCAACAAAAATGGTTCATCTCTTTGGCAGTATTGAATGCAGTTTTTTTGTAACCAATATAACAGTCCCAAATTTTAAAAACAAAAGTTTTAAAGAAATATATATTAAAATCCTTTATTTGTCATTTAATTTGATTATTTGGGGGAGTTGTTTAGTTTTCTTTTGGTCTTTGTCAGATAGATGGTTTGAAAATAATTTCTCTCATTCTGTAGGTTAATTTTTAATTCTGTTGATTATTTCCATTGTTGTGCAGAAGCTTTTTTAGTTTGATGTAATCCCACTTGTCCTTTTTTTTCTTTCTTTCTTTTTCTTTATTTTGCTTTTGTTACCTCTCCTTTTATTTCTATATCTAAACATCATTTCTAAGGAAAATGTTAAAAAGCATTTCCTTATTTTTTTTCTTCCAGGAGTTTTAAAGTTCCAGGTCTTACATTTAACTCTTTCATCCATATTGAATTAATTTTTGTGTATGATGTAAGCTATGGATGCAATTTCATTATTTTGTATGTGGATTTCCAGTTTCCCCAGACCCATTACTTGAAAAAAAACTATTCCCCATTGTTTACTCTTGGCACTTTTGTTGAAGGTCAGTTGACCATATATGCATGGGTTTATTTCTGGGCTCTGCATACTGCTTTATTGGTTTATTTGTCTGTCCTAATACTAGTACCATACTGTTTTTATTACTACAGCTTTGTAATATATGACTTTGCTTGGGGCAATGGGCAAACAGTGCCATGTGCAGATGATATTTTATTGAGTTGTGCTATTGAAATCTGTGTACAACCAGCTTTGCAAACCAATGTTATCCCAATAAATTAAATAAAAAATAATAAAATTAAAATAATTAAAATGAAATAATTGGGTACTGACATGCTTTTATTCTTCTTTATCAATATTGGTTTGGCTGTTTATGGTGTTTTGTGGTTTTGTTTAAATTTTAGGATTTTTTTTTGTAGTTTTATAAAAATGCCACTGGGTTTTTAGATGGATATAGCATTGAATCCCAGTACTACAGATGGTGTACAAATGACCAACAGGTATAAGAAAAGATTCTTAACATCACTAATCATCAAGGAAAGGTGGACCTCAATCACAATGAGGTATCACTTTACAACTGTTAAAATGGCTATTATTTTTTAAAGATAAGTGTTGATGTGGAGAAATTGGAACTTTTGTGCACTATTGGTGGGAATGTAAAATAGTACAGCTATTATAGTAAACAACATGGACGTGACTCAAAATAATGAAAAAACAAAGCTACCACATGATGCACCAATACCACTTTCATGTATCCTAAAGAGTTTAAATCAGGACCTCAAAGCAATATCGGTACTTAAATGTTCATTTAAGCATTATTTATAATAGCCAAGACATAAAAACATCCTAAATGCCTATCAGGAGATCAATAGATAAAGAAAATGTGATTTGAAAAAATAAAATTAAAAATGGGGTAGATAATATATTTTTCAACCATTAAAAATAATAAAATCCTATTTTATGTGACAAATGGATGAATCTGACAGACATTAGCTAGGTGAAATAAACAAGTCATGGAAGATAAAAACTGATTGATTGTGTTCCTATACATAATCTAAAATAGTGAACTTCATAGAAATGGAGAGTAAAATGTGATTGCCCTGGGGTGGGGTAGGGGAAATAAAAATGCTGCTGTTCAATGTGTATAAAATTTCAGGATTATGTTCTAGAGATCTGTACAGCATTGTGCCTATAGCTAACAGTTAGCCCCATATATTAATAGTAAAAAAGGTACTGAACGATTTCATGTTAAGTGGTCTTACCATAAAAGGAAAAACAAAGCAAAACAGGCAGGATGAAATATTTTTTTTTTCATTGACTGGATTTTATTCTTTAAAAATAAGGGTCACAAAGCCAAAACCTTCAGCAGCCCCCGCCCCCCTTTTTGCTTGCCCTTCTAAAAGTCATTTGGGTGGTCAGTACAGACCAAAGTTCAGCAGTCATGGTTCCATGATGGTGTGGGATCCACAGCAGGTGTCAGGGGCTGGGCAGGATGGCTCACGTGGACATCATCATCTGAAACTCCTTCTGGTATGCATCTGGTATCTTTCCAAGCGGAGTGTCAATAATTTGCACGGTGTTTTTGGTGAAGAGTTTGAATTCGTATCGAATTAGCTGGTCCCAAAAGCCTATGTTCGGGCGTATAATGGGACGACAGGCCTTGATCCAAGTATAAGCTTCTATAAGTGACATGGAATGGTATTTCATCAGAAAGGCAATGCACACCGTGGCGGAGCGGCTGATGCCTGCTCGGCAGTGCACCAGTGTGCGGCCTTGGCGCAGCTCTACGTTATGGATGTAATCGGCGATAGCATCGAAGAAATTGCCTATGCGCGCTCTGGGGGAGTCAGCCACAGGTACCTTCAGGTACTGAATGCCCTCAATAAACGTGTTAGTTTGCGCTGAGATATTGACTACTGTAGTGATTTGATTAGTGGATAGCAGTTGCCTGTTGTTAGCGGCCATGGCATTACCTATGTAGAGGCTGGTGGTGAGCTGGGATAGCCCATGGGCCCTCAAGGGCTGTGAGAGGGCTTCAATCGGCAAGGGACATCGTGGTAGTGGTGGTGGTGGTGATGATGGTGGTAATGGTGGTGGTGGTGGTGGTGTTGTCATTGAGGTGGCAGGCAGGTGACTCTGGGCCAGTTTCAGGGCACCACCCACACCGCAGTGCTAGGAAGTCTCTAGCTGGGGGCTGATAGACAGTGGACAAGTTACTGATTATTACCGCTCCTGCCCCCAAGCGTCACAATTCCCTCCCTGCCTACGCCACTGGTTTCCATGCCAACAGCAGTTAACCATGCCAAAGAAGTGGCATCCTAGCCAAGTCTTCAGATAAACCCCTCCCTGCTTCAGAGCATCACAATCCCCTCCCACCAGCCTACTGGTTTCCATGACAACACAGTTTGCCACAGGGAGGACTTGACCTCCCAGCCAAGTCTTTAGAGAAACCCCAGTTCTATTATTTTTTTTTCTTTTCTTTTCCAGATCTATTCTCTTTTTAAAATTTAAATTGTTTATTGTTTAAAGTAATAGCTAAGGTTTGGAAATAGCCAAAGTGACCACCATTCGATGAATGGATAAAATAGCTGTTGTACATTTACTAGTACACCATGAAATACTATGCTGCCCTTTGAAACAGTATGGAGGGATCTGGAGAGCATTATGCTAAGCAAAATAAGCCAGTCAGAGAAACATAAATATCACATGATGACACTCATTTGTGGAATATAATGAACAACATAAACTGATGAACAAAAATAGGTCCAGAGAGAGAGAAGCATGGGACAGACTGTCAAACCTCAGGGGAAAGGCAGGGGAAGATGCAGGGGAAGAGGGCTTGGTAAGAGATCAAACAAAGGACAAGCATATGAGCATAACCAATGGACACAGACACTAGGGGGGTGAGGGCATATGGTGGGCGAATGGGAGGCAGAGGTCAATGAGGGGGGAAAAGGAGACATTTGTAATACTTTAAACAGGATGAAACTTTTAAAGGTGATGGATAGGTTACCAAGATCTCTTGTTCTTTTGGCCTTTCCCTCATGGTAGGAAGATGACCACTGCAGTTAAAGGCTGTGTGTCTATTTTCCAAACTTGAAATTTTAAGGAAGAAGGAGGCAGAGCCTTTAACACCGATTCTTTCTCATACAAGTAACACCTCCAGAAATCCACAGCAGATTTGTGCTCATTTGTTGGCCACAAGTACGTAAGATGATCAGCTATAGTTCCAAGAAAGTTCAAAAAATGAAATTGTAAGCCTTCCCAGGTTTCAAATAGAGGTGGAAAAGGAAAAAGGGGATTGGGAATAACTGTGGATCAGGGAACCAATAATTTTGCCACTAGTTACAAATAAAGCAGACATAAATTTAAAAAGTAAAGGTGATGGATATGCTTATTAATTTGATTGTGATGATTTTATCATGTATGTATATGTATCTTCAAACTCATCAAATTGTATGCATTAGTTATGTCCCGTTTTTGGGTTTTTTTTGTATATCAATTATATCTCAAAGCTGTCAAAAATAAAAGAAATAATTGCTTAAATTGTATTTTTATCAATGAATAATGAATATTTCACTCTAAAATGATGGATATAGAAGAAAATATGTTTTGGGGGGTGTATGCTTGTGATTTGTAACTTCTTATTTTCCTTTACATGTAATGAAAGTATACTGTTTTAAAAATAAATTACTAATAATTTATGTAATGGTAAATTATTAACTACATCTGTAGATTTAATCATATTGACTTAATTAGGCAAATTAAATCAACATTTTGAGTCCACATGTTCCACTAAGTTTTTGAATATGTTCTTTGATGAATACAAACTGCTTAAACTGTGAAAATTTTTAAATATTCACAAAATTGAATTACTAGCTTCAGAGTTAAAACATTATTGCTTTGGAGATAATTACTTTTAATAACTTGCTAAAAGACTGAATTTTTTCAACAGTCTTGTGCAGTCTTCTCGTGTGTATTAATTAAACTAAACAATTTCTAAGTAAATTTTTATCTGTCTTAATTAACAACTAGACTGCAAGTTAGTTTTTACGTTCTATATTGGCTGTAGGATTTTGAAGTCATGAGACTGCCAAACATTATCAAAATCATCAAAGACAGTTGTTTGCCAATTTGTTAAAGATCATGAGAATTTTTTAGAATTGGATTGGATTTACAGAATTTATATATCAGGAACTACATTTTCCTACTAATACCATAAAAACTGAGGATGATCTATTCAGGTTGGTGAGATTTCTGCCACCAGGTGCCTCTCTAAATATGTATTTCAGAGTGGAATGGAGAGATAGAAACAGCAATGATGAGAGGTAATCATTAATTGGCTGCCTCCTGCATGCCCCACACTGGGGATTGGGCCTGCAATGTGGGCATGTGCCCTGACTGGGAATCAAACCATGACCTCCTGGTTCATAGGTTAAAGCTCAACCACTGAGACAAACAACCAGGTGCCTCTTAATGTCTTTCCCATTTATGATAGTTGTAGGTTTAACTTATAGGCTACATCTTTAATTTTGGGGTAATTCATTTAGTTATGTAAAGTTAAATATTTTAAGAAATTTTTCTTAACTTATGAGCAGTACATAAGAATGAATTTTAGGACTACTTTATCTGATAAAGCATTCCTTTCAAGATAACTCACTTCTTCTATAATATTTTACCTAATAAAAGAGAAGCCTGCAAATTAACCATTGCTCTGCTATGCCCACATCCAATCAAAGTGAGTACGCAAATTAACCCAACAAATATGGAGGTTAATTTGCATATGCAGGTATGTAGCAGAAAGCCTGCTATGAGTGGAACAGAAGCTAGGACTTGCTGGCTCTTGGGCGGGCTAACAGCAGGGACTTGCAGGCTCCCAGGCTGCTGGGAGTGAAGCCAGGCCTGTTCTTGCACGAATATTGTGCAACGGGCCTCTAGTTGGAATAAATTATAAATTTCTTAGATATAAACTTAACTATAAACTTCCCCTTTTCTGTTAAGTTTACTTGGGAGAAAAAGAGCAGAATTGGTCTAATATTTCTCATAGATTCAATATGGCTCTTGAATATGGTTTTAGTGGGGATGGATAAAACGAGAAAGCATGTTAGCCGAGTTCCCAGATATCCCTCTTCCCATCCACACCAAGGCAAAAATGTCCTACAAAGGACAAATTCTCCCTCTTCCCCCACCCTCCCATTCTGGAAAAAAAAAAAAAAAGCATCAATGGTGAGAAGTGATGGACTAGAACTATTTGATGCCAAAATATACCTCCAGAGGTATTGCATCTTCAGATATATTTTCGGTCCTACTCCAGAAACTCACCAGGAGGCACACAAACTTGGAAATAACTTTAGTCCTCATTACTGAATGTAAGTTATAAACCAAGATTTAGAAACAACAGTCAGTATTACTGATGATAGCACTTCTGGCAGGTATGAGGTGATATCTCATTATGGATTTGCTAGTAATCTGTATTCCTCTTATAATCACTGACATAGACCATTTTTTCATATGTCTATTGCCCATTATCTGTATCATCTCTTTGGAAAAGTGTCTGTTCAGATCATTTTCCTATTTTTAATTGGATTCTTTATTTCTTTTGTGTTGGGTGGTATAAGTTCTTTATAAATGTTGTATATAAACCTCTTATCAGGTGTATCATTGGCAAATACAATCTCCCATTCACCAGGTTATCTTTTCATTTTGTTGATGATTTCCTTTGCCGTGCAAAAACATTTCAGTATGATGTACTCCCATTTGTTTATTTCTTTTCTTTCGTTTCCTTTGCGTAAGGCAATATATCAAAAAGAATATTGCTCCAAGAAAAGTCCAAAAATTTACTGCCTATATTTTATTCTAGGATAGTATGGACATTTTAATAATGTTAATTCTTCTTATCCATAAACATGTATGTGCTTACAATACCTTATATCTTCCTCACTTTCATTCTTCAGTATCTTATCATTTTTGAGTACAGGACTTTTGAGTCCTTGGTAAATTTATTCCTAGGTACATTATTTTTGTGTTGCAATTGTAAATAGGATTATTCTTTTAGTTTCACTTTCTGATAATTCATCACTTTTATATAAAAATGCCAATTTCTGGATATTAATTTTGTACCCTGCTACTTTACTGAATTAATTTATAAGTTCTAGTATATTTTAATGTAATATTTAGAGTTCTCTACATATAGTATTATGTTATCCACAAATAATAACAGTTTGACTTTATCCTTTCTAATGTGGGTACTTTTTTATTATTTCTTCCCGTCTAAATTCTGTGGCTAGAATTTCCTTTACTATTTTCAATAAGAATGATGAAAACAGACATCCCTGTCTTATTATTGATCTTAAGGGATATACTTTTACTTTTTGCCTGTGTGTTTGTCATATATGGCCTTTATTGTGTTAGGGTATGTTTCTTTTATTCCCTTTGCTGAGAGTTTTCATCATAAATGGATGCTAGATTTTATCAGATGGCTTTTCTGCATCTATTGATATGATCATGTGGTTTTATCGTTCATTTTGTTTATGTGATATATCACTTTATTGATTTTAAAATATTGTACCAACTTGCGTACCTGTTGGTTAAGATGTAGAGAAACGGAAACCCTCATGGACTGTTGGTGGGAATGAAGATTGATGCAACCATTATGGAAAATAGTATGGAGTTCCCTCAAAAAATTAACAATGAAACTGCCTTATGAACCAAAAATTCCACTTCCAATTCCATGTCCAAAGAGACACAAAACACTAATTCAAAATAAATACACCTTTATGTTCATTGCAGCATTATTAATAACCAGAAGCCCAGTGCACAAAATTTGTGTGTGAGGGTGTGTCCCTCAGCCCAGCCTGCACCCACTCCAATCTGGGACCCCTTGAGATATGTCCAACTGCCCATATCCGTAGATCAGGCCTAAATGGGCAGTGGGACATCCCTCTCACAATTCAGGACTGTTGGCTCCCAACTACTCACCTGCCTGCCTTCCTGATTGACCTTAACTGCTTCTGCCTGCCAGCCTGATTGATGCATAAATGTTCTCCTGACAGTTTGATTACCCCTAACTGCCCTCTGCTGCAGACCTGGTCACTCATAACTGCCCTCCCCTACAG